GGACTACAGGCATGCGCCACCATGCCCGGCTAATTTTTTTCTATATATTTTTAGCTGCCCAATTAATTTCTTTCTATTTTTGGTAGAGACAGGGTCTCGCTCTTGCTCAGGCTGGTCTCGAACTCCTGAGCTGAAACAATCCGCCCGCCTCGGCCTCCCAGAGAGCTAGGATTACAGGCGTGAGCCACCGCGCCCGGCCCCTGACAAATTCTGATCGTAGGTGTTCTTGGACCTGTGCAAAAGCTGAGGCTGGGTCACTTGTGGTTGGGGTGAGGGTGCACCTCCCACAGGGCCGCCCTCCTTCCCGGGCTGGGTGTAGAGTACCCGTGCACGCCATTGAGGCAGGAAATACTGAACTGTGATGAGCCAGCTCCACTCCAGGCCCTAGGGCTTCCTCCGTGACCGAGGCAGACGTAACCTGTGTCCTCAGGGCAGACAAACCTACCTGTGAAAGAGTCAGAAAGAAACATTGCCCTGGTGGCAAGTGCTATGGAGACAGGGCCCGGGGGCATCGACCTCAACAGGGAGGCACAGAGGGACTTTGTGAGAAGGGGTATGTGTGCTCAGAGCCACATCATGAGAAGGAGCCACCTGTGCAAAGAGCTGGGGCGGCACATTCTAGAACATTCTATCTCTTCCCTGCCGAGGCTCTAGCAGTGGCATCTGAAGACCGGTTGCTTAAAGGGGTTGAAAAGCTTTGTTGACTCTGGCAAAGAAAAAACATTTTTTTTTTTATTTGAACAGAATAAAGGAATTCCATACCCAAACCAGACTTGCAAACTTCCATGGTCATTAGTTGTCAAGTTGAGCGGTGGCGTGTGTAGCATGAGTGGGCGTGGTGGGGACCCTGGTCTTCAGCTGATGCTCCTCACCCGACCTGCTGTGCAGCCTCCCTGCGCCGCACCTTCGGCCCCTCTCCCTCCTGCTGACCTGGCGTCCTCGCGTCGGCAGCAACCTGGAAGTAGCCTGTCTTCCCCGGGTTCAACGGGGCAGCCTTTGCGAGCGGGCCGGCCATGTTGGCTTTGGTCTTTCCAACCTCCCGCTGAGCTGGGTGGAATTCTGAGCACTCCCACGTTGGCTCTGGAGAGGAGCCGACATAGCTGGCGGGGGACGGAGGGTGGAGCGAGGGCTCCAGATATAGGGCCCTGGGGCCGCTGGCCTCCACCTGGAGCCTCCAGCAGCCTCTGCGCTGTGGGCCTGCTCCCGGCCGCTGGGTGGGAGCCACGAATCCCGAGGCCACTGGCCTTGTCAGCCGTCATGTCTCCAGGGCGGGGTTAGGGACTGGCACACAGTGGGAACTCAGTAAGTTTGTTGCAGGAATGCGAGAATCTCCGTGGGAAATTAGGGAAATTAGCTCCTTTCTGACCAATCTCCAAAATGGGGCTTTTATTTATTTATTTATTTTTTTGAGTGTGGACTTCCACCAGAAACAGGAAAGGTGGCCAACTGGAAGCCACCTTTCACTGCAAGAGACCATGAACCTCTACGGGTGTGCGCGCATGCCTGCACACGGTTTATATCTTCATTTGTGGACACGGTTAGCCCAGCACCATGGTTACAGTCCCTTGCCCTCCCAGAAATAAACATCCATGTCTTCCTCTTGCCTTCCTTTGCAAGGTGGACTCACAGCCCCTCTCCTCTTGCCGGGGAATCCAGGTCTCCCATTGGAGACCCTCTGTTGCACATACAGTGTGCCCGGAGGGAGGCCTAGCACGCAGCGGACACCCCCAGGGCTGCATGTGCCTCCTCCACAGTTGAGCTGTCCCCCCACGGGTCCCCCTGGGGAATCGCTTGGCCCAGGAATCTGTCCTGGCTGGGGTTAAACACAGCTCCTGGACCAGCTGGCTGGCCAACACACCTGAACATTGCGCTACAAAGAGGAGAGGGTTGCAAAAACCATTCCAATGGCAGGAAGCAAATGTGGACTCCTTCAGGTGGAAGACATAACTAGAACTAGAAGGACCCCAGGCATGGGTTCACTGTCTTTCCAAGCTGGGCTGCACATACTCTGATGTGGGGGAGGCTGTCTCCTAAGCAACCCCACCCCTTTGGCCATGGTGCACAGGCTGGAGGAGAGGGGTGCAGAGACTATTAAAGACAATTATTCAGACCAACTTTGAGTGTTAGTGTTTAACAAACAGCTTTGATTTCTAATTTTTTGCAAAACACATACTGCAGGTACAATTTATATTCATTACTGTATATTGGGAAAGTTATTAAAAACACTCAAACTTGGTTGAGACTTCCTATGGCATCATCACCGGCTTTTAATTGGTTTTTATCTAGTTCTATAAAAGATCTCTTTAAGCCCAATCAAAGTCCCCGCCTTGGATGTCTTGCCAGGTGAAGGACCGGGAGAGCCTCTTTATATGGGGTAGGTCTTTCCTTCCACCCAAATTTGAACAGTCTCGGCGATCCACTAAGATTTCGTCATGAGATAATTTATACTTCTTTTGATGGGCACAGTTACCAAATGACAAAATAACAGTGTTTCGTAACATAAGGGTTAAATCTTAATCTCTGAGGTTTGCAAAGCTGCTACTCGCAGTCTCCTTAAAATTTAATATACCTCGTTAATGCTTCCTTGCAAACACTGAAGGATTTTTATGATTATAATCATGTGTTACAGCACCTAGTACTGTTTCTAAGCAGCATACTAATCAGCTTAATGAGATATTACTGCACTTTTTGTTGACTAAAGCAAAATCCCTTTTATTGTTCTAAAGCCTGTCCTTTACTTTATTTTTTTCCCAAAACATTATCTTGTTTTATTATGTACCAGTAAATATCATGCCATTGGGTTTTTTTTTTTTTTTTTTGGCCAAATCATAAAATGATCTCTTTCATCTCGGACTGGCGAATGTGTTGAATATACCGAACGGAAACAAAAGTTCCACGTAAGTCTATTCGGTCCTGCGTGAAAGCCGCTCTGCTCTCAGGCAGACTGGGGGCTGAACCAACAGGGACAGGTGCTACCAGGGAGGCCCACAGGAAAAGTTTAACACGTAGACTCTTGGTTTGTTATTAGGTGTTGAAAATGTTAAAACATTAATAATTTAAATGTGCAAGAATAATCACAGTCTGTAAATAGAAAATACAAGGAGGACGGTCTATGGCCAAAACCAATCGGAGGCGCAATGCCATATTGCATAATTGGCATTTAATAATTCATTTTTTTATTATTGTTTTGGACTGTAATTCCTTAGCATTATTATGTGTAGGTAAGGCATGAACTGCACCCCGCCCCCCGCCCCCAAGCTGATGCTGTCGCCTGGCTGCGCCACACCGCCCGGCTCGGGTCTGAACTCTCTCTCTGTTTTCAGGGATGGAAGAAGCGAGTCTGTGCCTTGGAGTGTCCTCGGCGGCGCCCGAAGCTGAGCCCCCGCTGAGCGGCCCGGTCCTGAACGGCCAGTATGCCATGAGTCAGAAGTTGCACCAGATCACCTCGCAGCTCAGCCATGCCTTCCCCGAGCTGCACCCGCGGCCCAGCCCCGAGGACAAGGCCCCCGCCGCGCCCCTGGACGAGAAGGCCCGCGCGCCCCTGAGCGGCCAGCCCCTGGGCGGTCAGATGGCGCTGCTGGCCAACCAGCTGGGCCGCGACGTGGACACCAGCCTCAACGGGCGCGTGGACCTGCAGCAGTTCCTCAACGGGCAGAACCTGGGCATCATGTCCCAGATGACGGACATCGAGGACGACGCCCGCAAGAACCGCAAGTACCCGTGCCCGCTGTGCGGGAAGCGCTTCCGCTTCAACAGCATCCTCTCCCTGCACATGCGCACGCACACGGGCGAGAAGCCCTTCAAGTGCCCCTACTGCGACCACCGCGCCGCGCAGAAGGGAAACCTCAAGATCCACCTGCGGACCCACAAGCTGGGCAACCTGGGTAAGGGGCGCGGGCGGGTGCGCGAGGAGAACCGCCTGCTGCACGAGCTGGAGGAGCGGGCCATCCTGCGGGACAGGCAGATGAAGGGCGGCCTGCTGCAGCCGCGGGACCCCAAGCCCCTGCCGCACGCCCCGCAGGCCCCGCCGGCCGCCTGCCACCCGGCCGCGCCCGCCGGCCACG